TACAGGAGAGACCTCCAGCACACCACCCCTTGAACACAGCGTACGACGTAGAGGCCGCAGCCGCGAATATGACAAAGGCGATACAAGAGGCCCTCAACGCTGCCTCTACGAGCGTCCCGATGTCCACCAGAAGGGATGATCTGCCGCGACACATCTGCGTGCAGATTAAGAGAAAAAGGGCCCTAAGGAGACTCTGGGCGCGTACTCGCTGCCCGAGAATCAAAACGAAACTGAACACCTTGTCGGAGGAACTGTCGGTTGCAGTCCAGGCATACAGAGGAGATGCCTGGGAGCGGCGCATATGGAAGGCGGAAGAGCATGATGCGTCGCTCTACAAACTGAACCGACAGTTAACTAAAGCCAAACCTCCCGTTTGCCCGCTGACCAACAACGCGGGTGAACGTCGTTACGATGCCAAGGGTAGAGCGGATATCCTAGTCGAGCACTTCGAGGAGCAATTTATGCCGAACCCAGCAAGTGCGGAGTTCTTGGAGCTTCATGCCCAAAAGGAGAGTCGCGTACAGGAGTTCCTGTCGTCGCCCGCGCCGCCTCTTGCAGGAGAGTGGTTCATCTCCCCCCGCTGAACTGCGGTGGACAGCAACCCGCCTGCAACCGAGGAAGGCGCCGGGGCACGACGGGATTACCAACGCTGCACTCCGACAGCTGCCCCATAGAGTCCTAGTAGAGCTTGGTCGACTCTACAATGGGATACTGCGGACATCCCACTTCCCGGAGGACTGGAAGAAAGGCAAAGTAATCGTCTTGCCGAAACCCGGGAAGGACAGGCGCAGAGCTGCCAGCTACAGGCCGATCACGCTGCTACCACACATAGCTAAACTGCTTGAAAGATTGTTGCTAAGACGCCTCCGCCCGTGCATCCAACTTCGGGCGGAGCAGCACGGATTCAGGAGGGGTCACTCTACAGCAACACAGCTGACCAGAGTGCTGCACCTGCTTGCGGCCGATTACAACCGTGGCCGCACTACGTTGGGCGTCTTTCGCGATATCGAGAAAGCGTTCGACAGGGTGTGGCACTACAGGTTCTGGACTACTTTATAAATTGGAAGAACAGACCAGTGTCCCTCCTGCTATGTTGCGGCTAGTGGCGTCTTTCCTGGCAGACAGGAAGTTCTACGTCTGCGTAGAGGGCGCTGAGTCGGCAACCAGTACCATCAGAGCCGGCGTTCCTCAGGGCAGCTGTTTGTCTCCAGTCCTGTACGCGGCTTATACCAACGACATCCCTACCCTGGCAGGCAGGCTGCAAGAATGGGAGGACGACGTGGAATTGGCGTTATACGCGGACGATAGCGCTTATTTCACCTCTTCCAGAAGAGCCCATATTGCCGCTGCCAGGATGCAACGCCTCCTGGACCTTGATAATAATACCTTGATAATAATAACCTGGATAATAATTGCTAAAACCTAATAGTAATAGCGCTATTAAAATAAAAAAACAATCAATAGATTTAATTTTACTTGTAGGAATAACTAATCAAATTCATGTTATCTTAAAAGATAATATTTAAAACGATGAACGTGGAGGGGCTGCGAGGCTGAGAGGATTGTTGGTATTGCGAGGCGCCGCTCTCCCTACCCTCCGCAGCCAAATCTTGGTTTGCGGCGGAACCATAGACCTGATCCGCCGCTGGGGTCAGGAGGACTAGTGCTTCTGAGTGCTCGTTTTTCCGGACCCCATTGCCTTCGCGCATCGAACACGGGGGCGTCCGTTGCGCAGATGTAGTTGGAGGCCGTGGAGGAAGGCGCGCCATGTGTTCTGGTGCGCCTTACTATAGAAGGAGAACGGGGAGAAGTAGTTCTCTTCCGGGGAGGCGCCGCCATGGGGCGGTCGGTGCTGGTAGGGCAGCGGATGTGTGCGAAAGCGTTCCCGTGGCCCTACCAAAATGCAACGAAGGTGGAACACCATGGGGTTTTAGTCGGTGCGAGTCCGACATAACCTGTCCTTGCCCCTGCGAGGCGGGTATGCGTAGGCATTTCCCCATGTAAAAACAAGGTTAGGTTAGCTAAGTTAGGTAACCAATACTTTGTGGCAATCTATGGGGGTGACTTAAGATCGTGCAGTGGATGTTAAGGATTATGGGGATAATTAAAGATATAATATTTTGAACATAAAACGTGCTTTTTATTAATCCCAAAACAACAACATGGAGAGCCTATAACGTCATATTTAATCTTCCTTCATAACCACAGACACAGTGTTGATAACCGACGCAGTGTTGCCATTAAAATAAAATATTATATAAATCATTGTTAATTAACAGTGGACTTGCAATGGGTTACATTAAGTAGTAAGTATGATACTAAGTAATATGTACAGCCATTTTTTACTTTTACTACTAGTTTTTGTCTTTTTTATATAAACACACCTCGATCGTAAAAGTACCAGGTGTGCTTAACTGTGAACAAACCATTATAACGTGATGTTTTATAATTTGTTCATGTCTATCATTGATGAAAAATTACAATTTTATTTGATTAAAACTACTTTTACGGATTTTATCGCGTTTATTTTTACTTTTTATTTACTTTTATTTTTAATTCCCGACGTTTCGGGCGCTTTCCAGCGCCCATGGTCAGGGGGACTGAGATGACTGACGTCCCGATGTCATTGTTAAACCCGGGGTACCTTCAGCTTTTTAAATTATTGTTTATGGTCCGATCTATGTAAAATGAACTGACTATGTCCTGAGGTCTTGCAGTGGTATGCTTGGGTTTAGTTTTAATTTTATTGATTATAGGATCCCAAGCAGGTGGTAGTACCCAGCCTCCTTCTCTATTGAAATTAGGATGTTTTTTTAATTTCAATAGCCTCACGTATCATCCTTGGTAGGAATCGGTGTTCTTTCGCGAGGATTTGTGGTCTATCAAATCCGTAAAAGTAGTTTTAATCATGTATAGTGTTCGCGTAAATATAAGAAATCATTATAAAATTTTATTTCTTTTTTCTATGAAAGGCAATCTAAGTTGCGTGTATTGAAAGTATACAAGGACAGCACTTATTTATAGTGTTCTTACACTGTATGTTTTCAAAATGTGTAGCAAATAAAATTTTGAGAAAATATACACGATTTCTGCGTACTAGTCGCGTATACTTTCTAACGCTGATTCAGTAAATTAGTTGAGAGATTATACAAGGCTGGAACCGACATGTTCTAAAATTGTATACATTTAGGATGTAAACGCGTAACAAGTATTAGTAAAGTATACAAACTCATAAATTTACTAAGTAAATGTCGTTATATTAAAAATATGCAAAAATTAGTTATCAACTCATCATGTAGTTACTACTTTATGGCAATTTAACACGTTTACTGCGGCAAGTAAAATCATAATACTTCATCTAGTGCGGCGGCGGGCCAAAATGCGCCCCCAATGATGTTTCCGCCAGTGCGTGAGTGGTCGATCTAGACCCACCAGCACTAGGATAGATTAAATTGCTATAACTTTGTGGAAACATAATGTATACATTTTTTTTTATATTGTTAGAATGAGCTTGAACCCAACGTTCATAGGTTTGATTCGCCCCGGGATCTGCCAAACAAGAAATGAGAAATAAAGCAGGAAAAGCGGCAGGCCGATATCGACCTGAACCGCACTAGAAAGTATTTTTAGTAGTGACGGGACAGAGAAAAATAAGGGGATATCGAAAATAAAACAGAATTATCGTAAAAGAACTGTAAAATGTTTTTATTTACTTATGCCTATCTTGGAAACATGTTACGCAAAGGTTTTGGTTGCATTTCCTGCAATATTTCTTTATTTTCTTTACTTTTTTTTTTGCTTCGGTACTATTAAAGATTTTCCGCAGTCTGTCGTAGCACCCTGCACAATTTCTTCGTTTAGCGCTCATTTCAAGAACATGGTCATTGTCCTTAGGTTTTACTTGATTTTCTGAAATGAATTTTTTTGCTTAATTCCGTGTGATTTATTAAACATTGAGTTTTACCACAGAACTCGCGAAATTGAACAACTTTCCCCAGAGAACATAGGTCGAAATATGAAAAAAAAAATTGGCCTTCCCTTACAAAATTGACAACCAGCTGATTGATTTACTACTACGGGAGGTCCAACATTTTTTTTCATACTTCGACCTATATTCTTTGGGGAAAGTTGTTCAGTTTCATGAGCACATTCACCTCCTTCAGGGTTGATACCCCCCTTCCGTTACACGGTGTATAAGGTCATTTTAAATTAAGTGAAAATATTTTTTGCGAATCTCAGAACAAAAATTGTTCTGTAACATGGGCTGAGTTACCCCACGGGAGGTTTTTGCGCATTTGGAATTACATGTTGTATAGGTGTAGGGTTGTCCTTCAAGGAGATAACTCAGTATCGCTTATACAACAACTTTCCTTATGGGACCCATGTTGAAATCTTAAAAAAAATATTCTCACTTTTCATACAAAAAAATCAGATAGTTTATTCCTCAAATACAATTTTTAATCAGTTGATCGGATCGGTTAGTATGGGAAGCCAAAAATTTTTTTTCGAGTTTACGACATGATAGGGAAATTTGTTGTATAAACGATACTGAGTTACCTCCTTGAAGGACAGCGGTGATAACCCTAACAGCCTGTATATATAGGTATAAAATTATGTATATGGTGTATAATATAGTGGTAACAGGACCTAATGTCTATTTTGTGCAATCAAGTAGACCACTTAAAGCGTTATTTTTATGATAAATGCAGCTGAGTGCCCCGAAATAAGAACTCGCATTATGTGTTATTGAGTAAGTAAACAGTGCCATAACATACCATAATAGAACAGTAGTGCAAACAACGCCAAACATTGCTCGCAGAAAATAGCAGAGTCAGCACAAAGCTCATGCACGAAGACCATGCGCAGCCACCGTAACACTGGTAATATGTTCAAAATAATGACAATAGTTACCTGTTGCAGATGTAGAACGTCTGACGATGTTGAAACACGGAAATGTAGGAATCGCCTTCAACAATAATCTACATATGCCTACAGTGATGTTACACGTCATTATACTTACTATCAGCGCATATACTTTTTCCAGTTAATGATTGCATTAATGCCTCTGTAAATTCTTTTTTTGAAACCTTCTTATCACATTTCACGTTGTATGTGATCCACGCGTTTACTAACGCCATGCCTAACAAATATTCCATACCCACTTTTCTGAACCATTTGAGCCCTCTTTTTAATGTAGAATAGTATGAAGACATTTGGTCGCTGAAGTCAACTCCTTTTTTGTTGTTATTATACGTTAAGACACATGTAGGCTTTTTTATATCTTCATTCGTCTTCCTATTTTTTTTTTGCCAGTGTTGACAAGCACATCTTTGTCCTCTTTGAGAGTAGATATCATTAGAAGTTGCCTTTTGTCAACCCATTTAATAACTTTAACGCCATTTTTATTCATAGCTCCTTTGATTTCACCCTTCTTCAACTTTAGTAACGCTATCTCCTTAGGTAGCCCCCCTTCGCTTCGAATTTAGGGTACCGCAATAACGGGTTTTTTGAGATAAGAGTTCTTCCGCCAATTCAATTGAAGAGTAGAAATTGTCTGCAATTACTACACGACATTTGTTCTCCAGCCCTTGAATGAGTTTCAGTACGGTGACTTTACCATGATTTTGTTCACGGCCATTTTCTCCCTTTCCAGAATAAATTATTGAATTATATATATACCCTTCTGCATAACTTGTAAATTTTAACACCATACTTGTGTGATTTGTTTTTAATGTATTGTTTGAATTTCAGCCTGCCACGCCATGGTATCATTGATTCATCTATAACAATGAATTTACCTGGCGTTAATACTTCTTGGAATCTGCTGTTGAGCATATTAGCCAAATCATGAATTTTCTTCAACTTATTTGTATTGTGGATGGCTGACGAATCATCACAAAAATGCCAGAATTTCAGTAATAGCAGAAATCTATCCCGAGTCATTACAGATACAATATATTCGTTTCGATATATTGATTTTTTTGACCAATAGTCATTTATATGAGACACTTTGTTCAGACCCATTGCGAGTAGTACCCCTAGAAACTTCCGCATTTCTATATTATTCGTAGCTTTCCATGATAATAACCGAGATTTTGTTTTTATTTCGTTATTATTTTGCTTTTCTGCGATGTGTTTTAACGCATATTTATTAGTTTCTGTAACCATTTTATATATTATTTCATCAGTTACAAATAAGGAAAAAATACCTGCAGGAGATATATCTTCTATAGGAATATTAAAAGTGCTTTCATTTAAAGTACACGCATCCAACTCAGGTGTCAAATCTGTGACAGCATCCCATTCATTGACACTATTATCCTGTGCATCTTCCTCTTCCTCTGAAACATCATTATCTATATCCGATACAACTTCACTTGCAGAATATTCATCACTCTCATCATCGCCTGTGTCACCACTTTCCTGCTCTTCATCTTCCTCCTCAGTATTTTCCGTTTCTTCCTCTCTCTCTGCATCTTTATCTTCCTCTTCAGCATTTCCTGTTTCTTCCTCTCTCTCTTCTACATCTTCTACATCAACATTTTCTGTTTCTTTCTCTCTCTCTGCTTCGTCATTAAGTGTTTCTTTCTGTCTTTCATTTTCTTCAAACTGTTTATTACGTTCTTCGTCATAAAAAACACAATTTTCATTACTTTCAGTTAACCCTTGCGACATACTCTCTTCAAAAGAATAAGTGAATGTAAGTTTTGTCTTTGGATCTTTCCTTTCTATTTCATTTTTCTTTTTTATCTTTTTATTATCGTTTCTTAGATTTATCAAGTCATGATATTCGCTTTCATCTATTTTGATGCCGTGCTGTTGCGTTCACTGCTGTCACTATCACTGTCAATAACTGCAGGGCGAATTACTCTATTTTCCAAAATTTGTATTTTTCTTTTTATTGCTTGCCATTGTTGATAATATCGGACGCTACGACAGAGCTCTTAGATAGCACAACACTAACTGGCGGGGCGCGCGCTCTGTGCGGTATCGGGTCGCCAGCTGCCTGGTGGGAGGGCGGGCCGAAATAGGCCCACTGCCGCACTCGCGGATGTTTTTTCACCGTCAGTGCGTGGTAGGTCAATAAAAGCCTGCCGTTATGTTTTGATGGGGAACAACTACGGCATTTACCGCAAGATGAAATATATATTTGTCTCTGTCGAATTTTTACAAACACCTGAGATAATCGTTTCGCACAAGCGAGAGGGACATAGTTTTCTTCGTCCGCACCAGTTCAAGTACCGCGGCAGGCCGATATCGGCCTGTTACGCAGTAAACGTGTTAAAGGCCACTGTGAAAAAGTTCTTTGTGAGGGACAAAATTATTTTTATTATAAAAGTAGTATTTTTATTACAAAGGCAAAAAAAATCTATGGAGATCGCGAAAACATGGCTAATTAGATGATTGGTCGAATCATTTCGACAGATTTTAAAACTAAATCAGCACGCCCCGACTCCACGTAGTCTTGTTTGCGCTGGAAATTGAAAATATACGCGATAAAAGCGTATTAACCAGGTATAGTTTCTAAAAATAATTATGCTCATAACAAACTAAAACTATACGCTATCATTCCCGATCTGTGCGTACTGTTGTTGTATACTTTCAATACACGCATCTAAGTTACGAATTGGCAGGTCATGGGACTCAATCCCAAGCTAAAACGATCGACATCGCCCGCGCTGTTGACAAAATGGCGTCGCTAATACTACCATATACAATAAATGTATTTAATCTGCAACCAGATCATATTTTTTCATTCTGTAAACGATAATTTACTAATTGATAAATATATATTCAGCTTGATATCAAATCTAATGTTTTATCAAAACAATATGCTTCTTATTCCTGATCAAAATTGGCGAACTATTTTCTGGACTTGCTTTCACGAATTAATTAGAAAATCATATTAAAAAAAAACAATAAGCAAGGATCTAAACTATCTAAAAATGTAAAAACTTCTATACCAAATACCTTGGAATATTTATAATAAAATCACTTGAAAACATATCTGTTGAAGGAAAAAAAACAACCAGGGATGTCCTTTCAACTTTCTGAATTTTATTTCACTACCTACAAGATGGCAACAAGTTATCGGACCAAATGGCGCATACATAATTTATTTAAATGTAATTAAACTTTTAAAATTGTTTTGAATTAGCTAATTTATCAAGTGAGTTAATAATCATTTTACGACTGACATTATCACATCCGACAACGGAAGAATCGATAGGGAGTATTTTTCTCCTTACATCACGATCTCTAATTTGTTTAATTAAACACAAAGGGACGATAGTCAGGAGGGGGTAATGTTGAAAGTTGCATTGTAGTTGATTTTGCAATATTATCAGTGCAAAAAGCAGTAGAAAAGTGGTAATTAGGCAATTTTAAATTTATATTATTTTGAATCCAGCTTGAACTTAATTTGCTAACTTCAAGGAAACCTTAGGAATTTCCAAACACGACTTAGATCTTCATTTTGTACAGATTTATAAATATGGTGTCGTTGTAAATCTCTACACAACTAGTTGCGTTGATTTCTTTTGGATCCTGTACTTCTCCCGTATCATGTCATTCGTAGGATCTGACATCTTTTTAACATTAATTTTTTTGGATCTTTGGTTAACGATGGGTCCGGAGGGTGACGTACACGAACTGGAAGAACAGGAGAATGTAGATCTTAAAGTTTAATAAGGAGCGAATCAAATAATTATACCTGTTGATGTTTCATTCCTTTGACACCCTGCGGACTAAGAAGGAATGCCACATTTTCTTTTAAAAGGTTATCTGGTACCCTACAATCACCTTACAAAATTCACGCTTAAATTCTGTAAAAGTGAGGTCCTCCCCCATTGATGTCGGTCCATACATACTACAAATATGACGTAGCTGCAGCATGGTTCCAGTTATGTGAAGAATTCACGTTTGGTATACTTGAAAAATATACTCGAACAATAAAGCACATATAAAGCACATAAAAAATATACTTGAAAATAAAGCACATATAAAGCACATAAAAAATATACTTGAAGAATAAAGCACATATAAAGCACATAAAAAATATACTCGAACAATAAAGCACATATAAAGCACATAAAAAATATTCACTTAAGTAGGTCAATATATAGCAATCTCAAATCTGTTAGTCGGATACGTGACTGTTAAGACTTGTCTTTCTTGGCACATGATCGACTATTGGGTTAAGTATCTCTTTAAACTGGAAGAAAATGAAAAAGATGTACTCGTTTTAAATTGAAAGCAAAGAAATTTTAAGAAATAATTAGATATTTATAATATCATTCTTGTCTCTATATGTCTAACGAGTATTGAATAAAAATAAATATTAATGTTATGTATTTTACTGTTAGTTATAAGTAGCAGGTTTTTGTTTCAAAATATTGTTTATAAGAGTATAATATGAAGGGTAGTATAAAGTTATACAAGAAAGAGATTTTACCTTGTGAGTAAATTTATATTTTAAGCCCTAAAATATTTATCATTCTAGTCACGTATAAAATCCCATTTCTTACTTGCCTACTCGCTTTTTGCTGCTTCAAACCAAAAATGAAAATGATAAATGAAGTCCAAATTCTGATGTGAATTATAAGCGAGAGATAAAATGGTTTTCAGAATCACATAATTTTTAGTTATTTTGATACAGGCGAAGTGTTCCTGAGACGAAAAAAGACGATATGTCTTGGTGGGTTTGTATTCTACACTTATAACGAAACAAATCAAAACAATTAAAAAGTTTGATTGTGATAAGTTTCGAGAACGATCAATTAATATCTAAATGACAGTAGCCAAATAGCAAGCTGCTGACCTCAAACTCAAAAGGTCGTGGTTTCGAATCCGTCATTCGACTACTGGCGTAAACCATTCCGACTACAAGTATTTTAAGCTCACCCGGAGTGGTTAAATGGAATATTAGAAATTTTAATAGTAATGCTAAATATTTTTCATAAAAATATTTATTATAACATTAATTTAATATATAAAAAGATATATTTTCTCAACACTTATTTCGTTAACTAAATATAACTTTAAATGTTATTCTTTAGCCTGAAATATCTTTGTAGTACTTACATCATAAAAATAATTTCGAAAAACGTGATACAAAGTGTGTAAAGTGTATCTCGTAAATATATTACTCTTTTTTTCTCTTTATAAGCGGCTTTGATCCTTTGTATTTATTATGGAAATATCTTAGACGCTTCATTTCTACCAAAGATTTGCATATCAAAGTATTATTCCAATGTTTTTCTTTAAAAATAGTCTACAAAATGTCAACGAAAAAATTTTGCCTGCAATATTGGTTTGCCATCGATATCTTCATTTTGTTCTCATGATATGCGAATTATCGTTAATAAATTTCATCCTAAATAAAAGTATAGTTTGGAATTCGTTTATTCACTACCCATCCGTAAACTTTACCTTCTAAGGAATTTCTAACACGAATTAATTGGAAATAGAGAGTTCTCAATTAAAAATAAAGATAGAAATCCTTATTTTAAGGATAATGCAAACAATTATTAAAAACGTAGAAAATCTTTTGACCAAAATTTTCCTACGTTTTAGCTGATCGTTCACGAACAAGCTTATACACTTTTAAGATTTTTTATAGTATTAACTACAAAATTATGCACCATGTAATTATTAGTTACAATTTTTATTGCTGATTTACCATGTGTAGGAAAGGTAAGTATGGCATACTAACCATAGATAAAATTGGACCTATCCAATAATTCGTTTCGAAATGAAGGGATGCTCGATTCTTGGAGTAGGATGTTTATAGGCTGTATTTATGTAATTATTTTTAAATAATTTAAAGTTTTCTTAAACTCAGCAAAAACAAGCCATTCGCGACATACATGTGCGAAATGACATGGATATCAAATAAAACATAGATACAGATAGATACATTCCGATCAGGTACCAAGCGGGGAACGGTTGACTGCGACCCAACCGCGCAGTACTATTCATCGGTTGAGCCCAATGTGCTCCCAGATTACAGTGTTTCAAGAAAGAAGTCAAAGGCAATTACCGGTTCGCGGAATTGCTTCAGTGGTATTGTGAGACATAACAGCTGCCAGGTGCATCGGCCCGCCGGCCCATTGTCTCTTTTGTGTGTAGTGTTAGTGTAGTACCCCATGTTTTGCCGATTTCCAGTAAACTGTAAGTAGTTTATTGCACACTCGTTACCTCAGGGGCAGCAATTCTATTGTTTTAAATACTGTGTTCGCTGGTCGCATTAGGCGACAGCTAGCGTATCAACGCGCTGGTTGTATAAGTGTTCGTTTAGGCACACACTTCCCCCGCCCCAAGGTGGGGGGCTTGATACACAAGTGTTTTAACTCACTAACAAGATGGCGGCTATCTCAATAGCCGAACTCACCGATTTTTTAAGTCGCGTATGCCCCGACGTTTGGGCTATTTTCTTAGCGCAACGAACACGCCCGCTGCTGAATGACCGTTGTAGCGTGTCGACTACCCTTTGTCGCCGAGCACTGGTCCTGCAGCCCCCGTGCCCATAGACACCTTATATGATGCTGCGGCCCCCGGGCCTTCTGCGCTCTCCACCCGCGGGCATTCCCCGGTGTTTTCGGACGCCGACATGGCCTCCGAGATGGAGACGGAAGCAAACAAACCGGCCAAACCTGATGACGAAGGATTTACCC